TAATTTTAATATAAAAAAATCATGATTCTTCTCCGCCAGATTAATTTACATTAACGGAAATATATGATTTTAATTTCTATGATGCATTAATGTGATTCTTTCTCTCCTTGGCCCTTTGCACTAATTAAAAATTGACTCTTTTTTCTTGTATTATTAAAAGTGTGAAAACATAAATTAACAATCATATGATAAGAAATATAAATTTTACAATACATTCAAAATATAATGATTATTCTCCCTCGTATTATTTCAAAAATCATGTGAATGCAAAAAAAACATTAGTGATTCTATGATTTTAATGAAATTTTACAAAAACTATTTCACAATTTTTACTCATTTTTTGCTTTCTTTTTTAAATATTCAATCATTTAAGTGTGTGAAAGTATTTTGGTCAATACATAATGTTTTATAAAATACAAAGAGTTACAATTTAAAATTTATATTTCTCTTTGATATTGTAGTTTAACTTAAATCTTATTCACTTCTGCACATAAGATATTCTTCGTACTTCTCCTTAAAATACTGATTATTCTTGCATCTAAATTTTAATTGTCACAGATCTTCACGCGTTTCTCGACCTCCAAATCTTAATTTTCCTTATCGAAGTATTTTTTGTGAAAGTCCATGTTATATCGCTTCATCTCTAAGAATATCATTTTTTAAATTTCTTTGTATGATTGCGAAAATGAAGAAAAGAGAATCGAGCCATACTTCATCCGTCTTTTTTATTTTCATGCATCAATATAGTGAATTATCACCTAATATAAATTTATAAATCTTAAGTTACATCTTAAATATGGTAATAGTTACAGTGCAAACCTTCTTTGATTAAAATAATAGGTCAAATTAGAAAGATAAAGTACAAAAGTCAAATTAAATAATCCTGCTAAGTAATACTCCGTATGGTTTAAACACTTAATATATATAATTTTAATATAGGGATTAAGAAGTATTTGTTATTTTACATCACTATTTAAATAATGGAATAAAGCTAACTTCTTTTAATCATAACATAAAGAAATATGAAAGTTTTTTAAAGAAAAGAGAGTAGTTTATATATTCATCGAAACTATTATTATAAATGAAATGAAAAAAAAATTAAAAGAAATAAATATCTCTCTTTCTTAATTAAATGTACTCAATGATAATAAAATCATAAATAATGTTAGTGTACTATAATAAGTCCCAACGATATATTTTGTTTTAATCATTTGTCTTTTATAATATAATAAAAATAGGTTTAAATATGTTTTTATACCCTATAAAATAAGAAATTTTTTCGTCTCAGTAAAATATTTTTTGATAAAGTCATCCCTACAAAATATTTTAATTTGAAAATAGTCCTTAACCTAATTAGAACTTCTAATTAGATGAGATAGTACATTTATTTCATACTCAACATATNTATAAAAATTCAATCTCAGTACTGATCACTACCTTTGTTGTATATCAAAAGAGAGGATTATCCAAGAGGCTTCACATGCAGATACGTAATGACAATCAGAATACTTATTTGTTTCATAATACACCATAATATCAACAATGCCAAAGTTAGATTGGGTAACTGCAACAGTTACTTTATCTAGATCTTTATTTACATATTTAAAGAGATATTTGA